ACTACTAATATAAGGGCAGGAGAGAGGGCACAGGCAATAAAGGGCTTACAAGATCACTTGAGTTTGATCTCCAGAACCCACATAAAAAAGCCAGGCCTGTGGTATGTGCTTGTAATCCTAGCTCTGGAGATGGGGGTGGTTGGGGAATGGGGGGTGACTTAGTACTGGAGGGGGTGGGAGGCAAGCAGATCCCTAGACGCCCGGTAACCAACCTAGCCTACTAGATAAGCTCCAGGCCAATGAGAGAACGTGTTTGTGTCAGATAAAAAACATGGGCAGCACTTGAGGAAAGATACCTGGAGTTTCCTCTGGTCTCTGCATGCATACACATACATGTGCACCCAAGATGCATGAACATAAACACTCACATACCCACCAATACACACAACAAACAAAAATATGAACAATACTGCTAACAGTCAGTGGCTGAATAGTTGGGCTCTGGGCTAATATCTGTGTTGGCCCTATCTATATATGACCATTATTATTTTGCTTTATAGACAGAAAGGAGAGGCTCGTGTCATTTTCTCACAGTCACACAGATGACAGATGGCAGAGCCAGAGCATAAACTTGGGCTGCCTGACTCCAGAGTCATCCTATTACCTGCTTTCCCTTAAGGGATAAACTTCAAATTTAAGTGAGATTTTATTTGTAGCAGTGAGATGACAGAAAGAGACCCCAGGGGCTGGGAACCATCTGTGTCTCATGTACAGGAAGTCGTTCTTTTCCAACAAAGAGAAAGATGTGGGTTTTTTTTTTTTCTGTTCTTTTTCATTCTTTTAAATACTGTGTATCTCTCTTAGAAGCTTATGAAACCCATGGGTTCAAACACTGGCGTCAGAGTAAAGCAGGGACTCACACATGTTCTTTGAAGAGCAAAACTATTTTTTTCCCTACACATTAGATGCAGGACGCAGGAGTCCTTATTACTCTCCTCCCTGGTTAATAATTACGGTATGCGGTATCAAATCCTTACCTTTATCTAGACATCTGTGTTTTGTTTTTTCCTCTTGTTTTGCTTTCAGCCAGGTGAATTTCAGCAATCACTACTTGCTTAAAGCACATTGATTTTTCTAACACCTGCTAAAAGATCGGGGTCTCCTACCAGCACCCATCAACCAGCAGGACTCAAAATTTCCGTAACAGTTCCTGCCGAGCCTGTCAACCCCACAACCCCAGGAAGGAATGTGGCAGATACGGGCATCCAATACATATTTGTTAAATGAGACAGGAGCTGGATTTTGCAAATATGCGCTGTAATAGAAAAGGTACTGTGCATTGTGCTGAGGACTTCTGGGGAAAAGAGAGAGAGGTCTGGTTTTAGTCACAGGATGCTTTCATTTCTCCGGGCATGGCAGGCTGGCCAGCTAATTGCTTACCCGGAGGAATGCTGTGTCCACCAAATGTAGTAGTATTAATAGGCTTAAAAAATAAAAATCTTATCACCATGAGGCTGTTATTCTCTATCTCCACCTTGATGCAGGAACACTGACTTCCTTTTCCCTCCATGTAGGATTTTTCCTTTCTCTTACTAATTTTGTTATTTGCAGTTTTATACATGTATGTGATGTATTCTAATTCTTTGCCCTAGAATCTCCCTCCCATTTCTATCCATGCTCCTCCCTCATCCCTACCGGTCCCTCTTCCACATTCATACTTTTGATTGTGTTTTATAACCCACTAAGTTTAACCAAGGCCATCTATGTGACCATTGAATTGCAACTATCCGGTAGAGTCCAGCGCAGTGGGCAGTAGATAGACAACTGAAGGCCATGACTTCCCCTCTCTGAATTCATCAGTAGCAAATAGGTCAGCAGTGGGAGTTAGGCCCCTTCCCCGTCTCCTTTTTCCTCTTTTCCCCCTCCCCGCTTCCCTTGTCCATGCCTGACTCTTGATGATAGGCCTGTTTGGGGGTAGATCCACCCACAGCTGTGGTGATCACATGATTGGAATGGCAGTGTCTCGCCCAGAAGACATCTTAGCTTCTCCCTATCTTTCAGTTCTTACATTAGTTCCACCTCTCTCCTGAAGTGTCCCCGAGCCTTAGAGGGGATGGTAGAAATGTCTTGTTTGGGGTTGAGCTCTCAACAATCACCTGATTTGTTTTATTTATTCTTAGCACCTTGTACAGCCATGAGTCTCTGTGTTCATCCTGCTGGATGGACAGAAAGACTTCTCAGTTTAAGGCTGAGAATAAGATTGTCTGTAGGTATAAACATAAATATTTAGAAGGCAGTTTGACATTGTGTCAGAGTTAATGATTTCAGCAAAAGGCAGGATACAAACTTAACATGTAAGTAGACTTTCTATACACCAATGATAAACGTACCGAGAAAGAAATCAGGGAAACACTCCTATACATGATAGCTTTAAAAAAATTACCCTCCAGGAAACCTAACTAAGGGGGCAAAGGACCTCTACAATGAAAACTTTAAAACTCCCAAGAAAGAAATTAAGGCTACGCTAGAGGATGGAAAGGCCTCCCATGCTCATGGATTGATTAATATTGTCAAATGACCATCCCTGCAAAAGCGGTTTATAGATTGAGTGTAATCTCAATCAAAATCCCCATACCATTCTTCAAAGAAAAAAAAAAGTAGTGTTTTCCTTATTCTAAGTTAGGGAAAGTTCAGCATCCCCAGGGCACAGAAGGAGCAGGGAGAAGTGACTTCCCAGCCCACAGGAAAAGTGGGAAGCTACACTTTGGTGGCTTCTCATCTCCAGCTGCAGGAATACCTGGGTGAGACCCTGCTCCCTCAGCGAGTTCAAGTTGCTGTCACAAGGGCTATAAAGGGACACTTGGGCCTGTGTTCTTGTATCTGTAGCCAGACTTCACGAGTATTTTTAGGGTCCCCTTTGTCTCAATCTGATTTCTGCTTGAGACTGTTACCACATGTAGCCTGTGTTGAAATGACTTTTAAACTACTCTCTGGGTAGTGGGGGAGGGGTTAGATCAGAACTGCAGCCTTTAAACCGTTTTTTTTTTCCTTCCTTTCTGAATCTTGTTTTTTTAATTGCTAAATATCCAACAGGCTGAACAGAGGAAACTCAAGTCTAACCCTGGAGGGACCCTGTTTAGTCATTGTCTAGACAGATGAGTGTCCGTAATGGGGCTCTGTTTCTTTTGCTTTGTGGATCAGAAGGTGGTCCTTCCATTCCAACTTCGAAGATGCTAACATTTTCATTTGTTGACCACCAACCTGCTGTCAATAAGCCAAGGAAGGGAGCCACCCACCCACGGACCAACAATTAAGTCACAAACTAGTAGCAAGACAGTGCAGGTTTTGCGCAGAGGAGACCAGGTTAGAGTCCAGCAAGCCTGCTACCCTTTCAGAACCCCACTTTGCTTTTCTCTAAAGTGCGGATTTGCTTTTTAAAACCTCACTTTTTAATGCCTTTTAAAGAAGAAAATGATCTAACACACAGAGATGCTCCAAGCCTCATAAGGACTGAAGAAATTGCCCTTCTTGTATTCATTTCCTGGTCGCCATTGAAGCGCTTAACTCTCTTGCTTTTCTATTGTGAGAATTCAATTGAAAAAGTAGGCATCACAGCCCATGTTTTTAGCATCAAGTTGATAGACAGTGAAAGGAGCGGCCGATGTCGTCTCAAAGGGTAGAAAAGCTGAAGAGGTCCAAGTTTCTGTGAGGGGGAAAATGGTGCAGATATCATTTATAAATACGAGGTATCCAACGACAGTCAAATTCGTAGATTCCAAGAGACCCGGTGGCTGCCGGACACGGTAGCTGCCAGGTCCTGGGGTGGTAGGTGGAGAGCATCTAAGCGTGGCATTTTTAGACTTTCAGTTAAGCCGGAAGAGTGAGCTCCTGAACTCCTCCATACAACAGTGTTGTAGCTAGTCCAACAGGACCGTGTCCAGTTAAAAGTGTGCCAGTGTGAGAGGATGTCAAATGAGGCAGTCTTCCCATCTCCCAGCTTCCTCAGAAAACTTGGTCAAAGCCAAGTTTCTCAAAGTAGATGGCCCACGTTTTTAAACTTGTGTGTGTGTGTGTGAATTCCATGTATATGCTCTGTAGATGTGTGTAGAGGCCAGAGGAGGACTGGGTGTTTTGTTCTACACTCATACCTTTTCCCCTTGAGATAGTATCTTTCACTGAGCCTGAAGCCTAGACTCCTGTCTCCACTTCCCTGGGGCACTGGGGCTACAGGTCTGCTTAGTCACACGCAGCAGCTTTTCACATGGGTACCAGGGACTGAACGCAGGTCCAGAAGCTTGTAAACAATGGCTCTCACTTCCGGAGCCTCCTCCTTCCTGCCCCAAGTGGATGGCACACTTAACTGTCTCGCTCCTTTAACCTTCTCGTCTTAAGTTCTGTATGGACTGTCCCTGAAAGTCTCAACCTGGGAAGTTTTATCTCATTTATTCAGTCCATTCTCACCGTCCATGGGCTGTGTTGTGGGAAGACCACTTGCTTGGAAGAAGAACACAGGCCTCAAGAAGAAAGGTACAAAGGCCCCACCTCCTGGGCTAAAGCACAGTGTCTGCACTCCTCTTGAGCTCCCAGATGCTATGCTTCAGATCACTGGTGCTCTCACTGCTGCTGCTGCTGCTGTCTTCTTAGGATGTGGGATTTATTACTGAATATGATTTGCTGTGGTGTATGAGAGCACAGGGAAGCCTCAAGGGGTGCAAGGCCCACCACTCATCCAAGGGTCCACGGTTCGACTGGGGAATTGTTCAACCCCACAGCCATCAGGGATGAGCCTTTTCTTAGCTACTATGTGTCTTCAGATTCATCTGCATTACACTTGGGGAAACCTCATTTCTTTGAGGTATGGATCTTCCAGCAGCCAGGGAACTTGAACTTGGCTTTACAAAGGACCTCAACTGCATGCTCCTTAGTCTACAGCTTGGTGCTGCCAATGGACAGGATGACCTGGCCAATGTGAATCCTGTGAACCCTGGGGCTTCCCTAAGACACCCTGTATACTTTACATGCCTGCCACTGAGATCAGAGACATCAATAGCCACCAGAAAAAATGTCTCCAAGGTCGCTTAGAGCCATCCACATAGGCAACAGGCTGCATACATTCCTAAGGAGGCTGCTGTTAGTGTCCACCGCACACCAGGCCCCTGGGAGGAAAGAGACTTGATTGACTTAACTGACTGCAGAATTTTTATTCTTTCTGATATCACAAACTTATTACCCCTGCCATCAAGTAGCTTATCTCCTTTTTGTGGAGATAGACTTGTAAAAGAACTATTATACACAATACAGATTTTTTTTTTTTTTTCAAGACAGGGTTTCTCTGTGTAGTTTTGTGCCTTTCCTGGAACTCACTTTGTAGACCAGGCTGGCCTCGAACTCACAGAGATCTGCCTGCCTCTGCCTCCTGAGTGCTGGGATTAAAGGCATGCACCACCACCGCCTGGCTAGATTTTTTTTTTTAAATAAGTAGATTTATAGGCACAGCACAGTGTGAACATACAGGAGGCTGGCAGATAAAACCAACTTGTAAGAGAAAGCACTGCTAACATTCAGAGAGTCTAGTGTCTGCTTGCACAGAGATCAGTCATGGCCTCAAAACCAGAAAGAAAGGGAAAAGTCTGCCTGTTCATCAGCAGTCAGAGGAGAGAAGCAGCTATCTGTGACGTCAACAAACCTTTTCCCACCCCACACTGTGGCTCATGACATCCACAGCCGCTGAATTCCAGTAGAACCCAGTGCTTTGCAAGGCTGTGGCTAGGGTACCTTTGAGTCATGTCTCTTTCAATACAACAGCAATCAATAAAAATCCCCAGTAAAATGTGGTTAACCACAAGGACATCCCTCCCCACCCCCACCCCGTGTCAGCCTGTGATTCATTCAGTTCTGTGCTCTTCACTCTAATATACTCCACACTGGGAGGTACTTACCCTTCTTCCAGGAACGAACAAAAGTCCTACTCTTTTCTGGCCCATGCTTTTCTGCCTAGGACCCCTGGGAAGCTGAGGCCTGCCCAGTACATGTGTGTCTGTGGCTGGGGAAAGCTCTCGCCAGACCCTCGGATAACAGGGTGGAAAGATTTAGTCTGCAGTCCCTGAGGGTGTCACTGAATTAAAAGTATCTTCTCTCTGACTGATGCTGCTCTGCTCTCTCCCACATCGTCGTTGAAATAAGTGCCGACTAAGGCATCTGTTGGCCACCACCTCCTCCATTTTCATTCATTAGGAATGCATTTGGTTTTGTTAGTGTTTCCTTACCTGTTAGGGCATAAATTGTGATTACCTGGGCGGAATGGGTGAGGCCGAGGAGAGGGAAAGGAAAGGAGAGCTGTGGGAAAGCCTTCACCTGTTTCTATGGTGTGTGTGTGTGTTGTGGCTACCCTCCTGGGAAGTCCCAACCCCTCCAGAAGGATGTCTGCTGGCAGTCCACTTGTCACCCAGCAGTCACTGAAGTGTGACCTGCCACCCACAGGGGACAGCTGGCTGCACTGGTACCTAGCGTTGTGAAGGCAGAGAAGGGATGCAGCGTTTTCTGCAGCCTTGTGAGATGAGTCCTTCCTTCCTTCCTTCCTGTCTGCCTTTTTCCCTTCCTTCCTTCTTTCCTTCCTTTCTTTCTTTCCTTCCTTCTTTTCTTCTTTCCTTCCTTCCTTTTTTCTTCCCTTCTTTCTTCCTTTCCTTCATTCCTTCATTTGTTCATTCCTTCCTTCCTTCCTCCCTAATGCCCATTGTCAGTGTTCCTAACTCTTCCTCAAAGGCTTTTATTTTAAGCTTCTGGGGTTAATATCCAGAAGGCAAGTGGAGATCTATGGAAAGGTCTCATTTTTCCAAGTGTGTGTGTAGTGTGTGTGTGTGTGTGATCTAAGCTGGGGAAGACCAGGATAAATGTTCACAGACCATACTACAATGTGGTTTACACCTTCCTTTATGTGCATTGAATTCATTTGGTAACATCCTACTGCATCTAAAAACGTTGACTTGAGGAACCAGTTACCTTGGCTGAGAACCTGCTGTGTTCCTTTTATCCACACTTGGTATTTGCTCAGCAGTAACGGAAATGCTTATGGAGTACTTCCTGTGGCCAGCATTTTGGAGACTTCGATTTGTTTGATGCTAGCATTCATAAGATTTGTATTTTCTTCATTTCTCTTTTGGAGAAACCAAGGCAGAGAGAGGCTAAACTACTTTTTTCAGATGATTAAGTGGCAGAACCATGACACCCATCCACCAAAGATGCTGTTGTCATTCACTCCCATTAAGCAGAAGGTCAAGTCCATGACCAATCGTGTCACCCAAACTTCAGTGTCGTTTACGAATCAGAGCATAAGCGCTGGGAAGAAAATGGCCCAGGTCTAAATATTTGAAGAGATTCCTCTCTGGAAATAGATAACATTAACTATGAATATGCTAAGGTCTGCAGCTAAAAGGAGTAAGCCGTATGTGCAGTTCTCGTTAGATGACTTTTTTTAAAAAACATGAAGTCCTCTGATTAGCAAACAGTACAGATGTTTATAAGCTGGAAGATTTTCAGTATCTTTATTTGAATTGTATGAAGTGGCCAAATGCAGTTTGGCCCCAGGCTGCAGAGTGTGTGTATCTGGTGCCAAGACACAACTGAGCTCCGCCTGAGATGCCGCGCATTCCAGGCCTGTTACCTTGTGAGTGGAATATTTAACAGATTTTTTTTTCCTTTTCTGAGATGAAGAGCAGAGCTAAGTAGGATAGGGGCTGGTTGGACTGCTGGCTATGGAGCTTCTGTGATCAGAGGGATGCTTGAGTGGGAATTCCCTGGGAAGATAAACAAAGATTTGCCACAAACAATCCCTTTGCTGACAATTCAGGACCTACAAGGAGATGACAGAGTAAACCACTTGGGGTGCTCGCCATGTTCCGGACACAGTGCTCAATATTTTGCTTTGGTGGCTCTACTTTATCCTCACTGTCTGTCAGGTCGACTCTGCTGAACCCTCCTCGATACACGGAGAACGTGCAGGCGAGTCATGTGTATGACCCATTGTTAACCCTGTGCTGGTCTGAGTTATATGTTAGCACAGCTGGTTTAGGGCCAGCAGTGCCAATAACTAATGCATGAAGCAGAGCCGATGGGGCGTTGTTTTCCTTTCTCAAACCTTCCCAACTGCCCGAGGAGTCAGGTGGTGGTGTTAAAGTCTTAGGTTCCTGGATACTGAGTAAAAGGTCAAGCTGTTTGCTAAGGGCCACAGTGGTGTGTGGTGGAACTGGGGATAGAACCATGTATGCTGAGTCTCAAGCCTTCAATCTCTTTACCTTCATATACAACATCTTCATTAGCACCAATGACAAGCTCACAGGCAAAACCCTGGAAGTCTGAGCCAGCCTGGCTCTCTACGTCAGAAGAAGAGCAAGTGTTGGAGCAGCAGGATGGCTCCGTGGGCAAAAGCACTTGCTGCTGCGAAGCCTGTCCACCCGAGTTCCATCCCAGGCCCCACACAGGGGATGAAAAGTGACAGCCACTCCTACCTGTTGTCCTCCAACCTACACATGCACTGTGTGGCACACATGGACATGCACACGCACACACTCTCACTCACATACACACACACTTATACACAATGCACACACACACAAATTAAGTCTTTTATTTTAAAGGGATTGTGGGATTGAGGCAGGACTTTAAAAGTTTGCATTGACCACTGTGTCTGTAAGAGCAGCCAAATGAGATCTTTTGGGTGTGTGTGTATGTGTGTGTCTGTGTATGTATGTGTACATGCATGTGTGTATATGCATGTGTGTACATGCGTGTGTGTCTGTGTATGTGTGTATATGTGTGTGCATGAATGTGTGAACATAGGTATATACACATGCAGAGGGGCATTTGGGATGAGGGCAAGGAAGAACTATTTTCAAATTGAAGAAATCACTAGGTGCCAGAGAAGAACACATGCCTTGTACCTTGTTAACTCTCATCCCTTAACCTGATAAGTCAAGGTTAAGGAGACTCCTGCGTGTTGGGTTGCCATTATTATCCTTAATTTATCCACAAAATAAACCCTGAATTCACTTTGAAGTGCTTTCGTGAAAATGCAGCCTTAGTGTTGGACAAGGTCCTGTGAGCTCCTCCACCCCCTGCAGGGCCAGGGCTGTCTTCCAAGGAGAGTGGAAATATAAACAGAAGGACCTCCCTCCCCTAGGCCCCTTGCAGGAGCCCTTATTCAGCTACTGGTCCTTTTGCCTTGGAAGATTCTGCTTAGGTTGAATCTCGCCCCAAAAGCAATATTTTTTGCTAGAGGTGGAAAATTCTAGAAGCAAAGGTGTGAAGTGAAGCTTTTTGGTGAGTGTTGTCCATGGAAGAGCAGTCATCCTTAGCATGGCCTCGATGTGCTCCAAGACACACATTTAGGCTCAGCAGGGCTGTATTCACAAAGGTACTTGATGGCTCACTCCTGACTCCCCCGACTTGGTGGCTGTTTCTAAGTGGCTTGCACTTCTTTAGTAAAGTGAGGAGTCAGGGTTCTTCTTTGTGGACAGTCAGGTTTTTCCTCTTCAGGCCTCAGGGTACTGCTGTGTCCTATGAGCACTGTCTGGGATACGGAGACCACACCCAAAGGATGACTTTACATATTGCATATGGTTAGGGAGAAGAGAGGTGAAGTGGCTGGCTTGAACTGAACTGGCTACCCTTTGGGTAGAGAAGTCTGGTTGTGGAAGATGAATTCTTGAAACCATTACTCCCCATTCCTAGCCCAAGGCTAAGGCATCCTTGGGCACCACATGTGTTTGTTACTCTTCTGAGAGCGCTCCTTTGCAAACCCTGGGAGTGTATGACCCAGGGCCCACTGTTTTTCTTTCACCTACTCATCTCAACTTTAGAAACTAGGCATCTGTGAGATAGGGGAGTTTGTCACCCACCCAACTCCTACTGCATGCATGGGCTTACATTCACATTTCGGCAGATTCTGACATCTCTGCTGGTCAGCATGCACCAGATCAGGTGTCTTCAAGTGATCCTGGGAATGGCCCAAGAGGAAAGACAGAAAAGTGTGGTGGATCTCTCAAAATTCCTCTCCCATTGCAAAGAACAATCTGCATCAAGAAACAAAGACTTTTTGAACTGCCTCTGTGTGTGTGTGTGTGTGTGTGTGTGTGTGTGTGTGTGTGTGTGTGTGTGTGTATGAGTGACAGGCAATGTCATGTGGGCCTCTTTTGGCATT